GGGGGGGGGGGGCGGGTGGTGTGTGCTTCTGACAAGCGCAATTTACATTGAGATCGCCCTGCGCTGCTATTTACTCTGAGACCTGATTAGTATGGGTCGTCTATGGTCACACACACACACACACACGCACACACACACATACACCAACACCAGAGGGGGAAGGGATGGCGAGGGGAAGAATGCCTTGCAATGGGTAAAAAAGAGAATCAGACATTATTTTGTTTTCTTCTGAAAAGTTTTTAAATTTAGCTTTTATGAGCATGAAGACGATCACTGGAAATGTTAGGAAAATTTTAAGTGGGAATTAAAACTCTTACCGTGCTAACGAGTCCTGAAATATTCTGGCTTTGTATTGTTTTCTTTTTTCACATACAAGCACAGCCCTAGAGTAGACTCTGCTCATTTTCTATTCCTTTAAGAAACAAAGTAGGGACTCGCTAGTTTTTTTTTTTTCTCCCCCTAGGTCCAACGTATATTTTGGTTTTGAAATGAAAGGTTCAATTATGACAAAACGCACTCCTGGAATTCGCAGAAATTGCCCCCCAAGTCAGTCCGAATCAATGGTTCCTCTTCATCCCAAAGGTGATGTTTAAAATAAACTCCCCCCACCCCGATTTTTCCTTCTTCTTTTTTTCCTTCCCCTTTTTGATATCCTCAGGCTGTTCTAACCTCCAAAGAACGCTCCAATAATTGTTAATAAAAGAGTAGTAAGTTCTCATATTGCTGCGGGGAGGGGGGGCGGTCAGTGCGGGCCGAGTCCGAGTCCCAGGAAAAGGGGGGGAAAGGGGTGAGAGAGAAGGGATGCAGATGGGGATGGGAGAGGGGGAAGGTAGGAGAGAGAGGAGGGGGGAGAGAGGGAAGAAAGGACGGGGAGAGAGAGAGATAGGGGAAGAGGGAGGGGGCAGAGGGAGGCAGACAGAGAGAGGGAAAGAGGGGAGAGACCCCCCGTTCCCAAAGGCGATTGGTCGCCGGAGGAGGCCCGGGCGGGAGGAGCGGGTCCCGCCGCGAGGCCTGCAGGAATCGCTGGCTCCGGCTGCCACCTAGCGGACGGGAGCCGCGTCCCGGAGACGCGCGGTCGGGTCCCCTCCTCCTCCCCGCCTCCTCCTCCCGGCACGCAGCCCTGTGCCTTTTCTGCAAACCAAGACACAGCACTTTGAAAATTCTTTCAATGGATTTTTTTTTCCCTCCTCCTTCTTCCTTGAAAGATCGTACTGAGGGAAAATGATACTTCTATTAGTTACATATTCTCCAATCGCACACTCGCATCTTCCCCCCCCACCCCACCACCTCCTCGTTCTGTGATCGCTCCCCGAGGCAGGCTCAGGCGGGCGCGCAGCGGCGCCGACTGACAAAGCAGCCGCCCGCCGCCGCCGGGGGGTGCGGAGCTGCGCGCCTGCCCGCCGCCCCTCGACTCCGGAGAGCGTCAAAGTTTGTCTCAGCTCCAGCACCCCCGAGCCTCCACACGCCCTCAGGTGAAGGTGGGAGTAAAAAAAAGGCCACGCTGTTATTGCCGGAGGTAGGGTTTGTGTGTTTTAATACTCGTTCTCCCTTTAAATGTCATCAGGGAGGGGGCTTGGGGGAAGCGCTGCGCCTTCGGGGTGCGTTTTGCGCTTCCCGGTCTCTCTCCAGTCCTACTAAGAGTCAGGAACCCGGCGACCGCTTAGTGACAAGCGACGATGAGAAAGGGCAGAATAAA